TTCTTCTAACTTTGGAGGATAAGGAAAAGCCGACGAAAATATTTTTTCTTAAATTGCATCTAAATGAGAAAGAATTATTGGTATGTAGCTTGAATAGTTGTTTGCATCTTTTTTTTTCAGCAAATGAAGTACTGATTGTTAAGTCTGTAAATGTAGATATTGACGTTGGCCGTGAGGATGACGCGACAGTTGTGGATGAGGTGGTGATCGAGTGAGTGAATGTGGGATAGGTTGCTGCAGGGGGAGGGGATGTGGCAGAACTTAGTCCATCGAGGCAATGTGCAGAGCGGGATGTTGAGGATCAGGGTGCTGACGATCTGGGCGTCAGAAACCAAGGTGTGGGCCATCAGGTTTTTTCCGGTGCTGCGAGGGACGAGGAGGCCTTGTTGGGATGGATTAGAATTTTCTTCATTTTATGGGGTATCCTGAAGGCGATGGTGACGAAATAATTTATGACATTTTTTGATGAAATAATTTCGCAATGTCTGACAAAGTAATGTCGTATTCAGATAAGAGTGTCCTCATAAAAGCCATGAGTGATGTGTCGATGCAGGCTCATAAGTTAGATGTAAAGTGTAAGCCAGTAGGTGAGATATTCACGAAAGGGGTGAGTAGGAAAAGAGTTATGCCTAAGCCATGAGCCGACGATGGTGAGAGTTGTCCTAACGATCATCCAACTGGATACTTGCTACGGTGAGTGTTCATGTTGCGGGAGAAATTGTCCTTCCAGGTAACTGCGGGGGCCGCGGTTCCTCGGAGCAGTGCCAAGTAGGCGGCGACTAAGGCCAAGATATGGCTACGATCTATTAAGAGTGGTATTTCTTCTAAATTTGGAGGATAAGGAAAAACCGGCGAAAACTTTTTTTTCTTAAATTGCATCTGAATGGGAGAGAATTATTGGTATGTAGCTTGAATAGCCGTTTGCATCTTTTTTTTTAGCAACTGAAGTCTTGATTGTTAAGTCTGTAAAGGTAGATATTGACGTTGGCCGTAAGGATGGCACGGCGGCTGTGGATTAGGTGGCGATCGAGTGAGTGAATGCGGGATAGGTTGCTGCGGGGGGAGGGGATGTGGCAGAACTTAGTCCACCGGGGCAATGTGCAGAGTGAGATGTTGAGGATCAGGGTGCTGACGATCAGGGTGTCAAAAGCCAAGGTGTGGGTCATCAGGTTTTTTCCGGCGCTGCGAGGGACGAGGAGGTCTTGCTGGGATGGATTAGCGTTTTCTTCATTTTATGGGGTATGTTGAAGGCGATGGTGACGAAATAATTTATGACATTCTCGAGAGAGCTGACAAGGTGGATAGGGAAGTTGGTGCACTGCGTGAGGAACTTGCAGTTTCCTGAGGGAAGATGCTTTTTGATCTGGGGGAAGTGACGCGTCTATGTTTGGAATTTTCGGTCGGTAAATAGGTCCTCGCCGTTCAGCCTAGGGATACTCTCAATGATATTTTCAGGCTCCACCATTGTGAATTCGCTATTGGTCGATCGACACCCTCCTTTACTTTCTTTCCTCCTTAGGTGAACAAATATTCTCCATCAAATTAAAATATTATGTTACCCCTAATCAAACTAATACAATCTCTTTAATATAATAAATGTAACCCCATATTCGATTTTGGCATATTGTTTGGTCATCCATGGGATGCATTTAAAATGAAGAGTTTCACATGATTTGAAATGAAATACCAGTTGTTGGTGATATTTTATATAAATTAGTTAGATTTGATAGTGAAATTAATGAAACAACTCGAATTTAAAAGGACATATGTTTGGTTTGATCACCATAAATATAATTCAATCCATAGAAAATAATTATATCATTGCAAAAATATTATTAAATTTAATGTCCAAATAGCTCATACACTTCAGAAGTCAATGCTTTAATACTAAATTTAATGATTATATGAACAGAAAAAATAAGAGGAGAAATTTATGCTACCCGTAGAAAAGTAAATATTATTCATTTATTATTTGATTAGTTTTATTTAAAATCCCATATTTCATTGATTTACTTACATACCACATAGACGCGGGCGCTGGGCGGGTCGAGTTTGGCGTGGCTCGGGCTTATTCAAAGCGGGCACGAGACGAGTTTGAGCTCGAATCCTATTTATAATTTGATATTTATAATTTGATAGCTGTATCATGGGTTGTAAAAGAAAAATATTTTTTTTTACAAAAAAAAAAGATAATAAAATCTTTAATATATTCGCACGAATCACGTTGTTGATATAAAATATTAAAAAAATATGTAATAAAAACTTTGAAATATGATATAATGTGCGACAAAAGTTTTAAATTAATATGATATGTAAGAATTTTTCTTATACGTTTAAATGAATTTAATAACAATTATATATATGCAAAATACGTCAGATTTTTAACTTAAAATATCTCGATATGCAAACACAAAGAAGTCGAGTAAAATATTGCAAAAAAGAAAAAAAAAAAACCATACATACTAATCAATTTCTAACTATTTACATATCTAAACACCACGGCTTCAATTTTTACATATTTGTTATCACATATATGCACGAAATTTGTATTTTATTTCAAAAATAAATTTAAAAGCTATAATTTTTATATGATATAAATGATTTGGTTGATGTTAATATAAAAATAAAAAAAATATGATTAGATAAAGAAGAGATGATCAGAGAAGTAATTGCCTCAAAAATTTGCAATCATAAAATATATTTATGAGACTGGGCTAATGAGCCGGCCGCGCTTTGCACGGGTCAGACTGATTCAAACTTTGACTAGATCAAAATGGGCTTGGGTCAGGTCGAGCTCACAAAATTTTTATTTTTTATATAGTCAAGCGCAACTATTCTGAGCGGGCTTATGGCGTGATCATCGAGCCATCCGCTCAATGCCTGGGTCCAGTTTGTTAAATTTCATATCATAAATTCTAAACTTCAATATTACACATGTACTACCAAATTATAGTTTATTATTTCATTAACCACCTTGGTGCCATTCCGACTTTCCATCAACATTCTGGTGCGCTCGCAAAGGAAAGACCAAATAATGGCGGGCAATGAACTGTGAGAAAGTCTCATATTTCCTTTCTTTTTTCCGCTTTGCCATAAATTTTGTTTTTCTCACCATTCTTTCTCCTCCGATGACATTTTCAGCGAGCTTGGAAGGCAATGAAGGAATGATCACATACAATGACCTTTGAAACTTCCCTCTTTACAATTTTTCCTCTGCTTTGCCTTAAATCCTGTTTTTCCTCGCATTTCTATCCTTGCACTCTATTTCTACTTTAAATCATTGAGGAAGACAACCCTTGTGTTCCTTCACCTCTCTCCCCCACATTTGCATATTTTAGTCGGTGCTATTAATGATTTGATTTTGAGTCCAATTGAGTGCTCGAAATCAGCTCGTGGCTCGTAATATTTGGCATTGAGCTGAGCCAGATAGAAATTAAATCGAGCTCGATTTGTCTCGAAATCAAAACAAACAAACTCAAATTGAGCTATTTGAATTATTTTTAGCTCGTATTCAACTCTATTTAGCTCAAAATTGAAACTAATTGGCTCAAATTGAATTGTTTGGATCCGTTCTAACTGTAAATTGATTTGAAATTAGCTATTGACTCCTTACATTTAATTTTGCATAGCATTATATTTATAAGTTTTATAAACAAAAAATAATGCAAACCAATATCGCCGATTGATATAAAACTCAAAATCGGTTCATATAATAATTTAATCCAAATTTTCTGCTCATAACTCGACTGATTTAGTTTGATCAGATCTCAATCTAAAACAAAATTCGAATTGATTTTCGAGCGATAACTGATCTTCCAGCTAAATTCACAACCCTTTCAACTCCACAAAAAAAAGAAATGTGAGAGTGTAGGTAATTATGCGCAGCCATCTCGTTGCTGCTTTGTGAGCTCGCCAAAAAATTGTGAGAAGGATCACAACATTTGATAGAAGAAAATGTGGGTGATAGATGCAATAATTAGGAAGAAATCATTGAGGAAGATAACCCTTGTGTTTCTTCAACTTCCTCTCACCTGAATTTGCATGTTTCAACTGGTGTTGTTATCGATTTGATATTGAGCTCAATTGGGCTGGCTTGAAATCAGTTTGTGGCTCATAATATTTGACATCAAGCTGAGCCAAATTGAAATTAAATCGAGCCCGATTCGACTTGAAATTAAACAAACCAACTCATTTTGAGCTATTTGAATTCTTTTCAGCTCGGAATAGGCTCTATTTGGCTCAAAATTGAAACTAATTGGCTCAAATTGAATTGTTTGGATCCATTCCAACCCTAAATTGGCTTGAAATTAGCTTGTGATTCCTTATATTTAACTTTGTCTAGCATTATATATATATGTTTTATAAACAAAAAATAATACAAACCAATTTTGAGTTAGCTCAATTCGATTTATGTATGACTCAAAATCTGTTCGAATAAAAATTTAATAAAAAAATTTGTCTCAGAACTCGTCCAATTTATTTCCATCCCGTTGCTGCTCTGCGAGCGAAAAAATTGCTCGAAAGATAGCAGAACACAAGAAAATGAGGGTAATAGATGCACCAATAAATCGAAGGAATGTTGGTCGCCTTAAAATTTAAGGTGTTTTACATGGAATTTAATAAGAACTAGGTGGTATTTATGTAAATCCCTCTTTAAAATTAAGACAAATAATAAATTTTCGACAGCATTTTGAATTCCGGTTGTGCAGCTTTTAATAACTGCAAGTAAGCATAAACAAGAAAAGCAATATCTTAACGTCCCCACGATTTCGTTCCGCGCACGGTGCACCGACTCCGACCTCATTTTTATTTTAATATAATTTTACCGTTCTACCCTCAAACATTTCCTTAAATCCCCAAAGTAATAACTTCTGACCATATTCCCGCT